CGTATACAATGTACAGGCTGTCCCGAGGTACCTGCTGTTACATCGACGAAATTGTAATATTCGTTGTTCCGACCTCGATACGACCCTGAATTTCCTAAACATTCGTTCTAACTCGGACGTTTTAACTTTTTTTCCTTTTCACTGAATTTCAAAAGCAAGGAGGATAAAAAAGAGACAGAAAATTCGCATTCCGCGCGATTTTATCGTCGATTTGCCAGACACATGCCTCGAGACACCCGGTATATAAAAGACCGAGAACAATACGATACCGAGACCAAATCTATCGAAGAAAAAAAGAAAAAACAAAAAAATTAATATTTGGTAAAGCGAAGAAAACTTTATTTATACGTCGATGTTAATCACGATACTATATTGCGCGGATCTCTCTTGGTATACGCAGAAACACGAGAAAAAAAAAAGGAGCACTTTAAAGAAAGGAAAAAAAAAAAAAAAATGGGAATCACTAGTGTATATATACAGGACCACAGGTTCGTTAATTTTACAATACGAGAAACACGAACGTTCTTCGGATTAGAAAACAAAAGGACAAAACGAAATAAAAAAAAAAAAGAGAAAAACGATGAGAAAAAAAGAGAAGAATAGTGAATATAGTTGATGAATGCGTGTCTTGTTGCGCGCCTGACGGACCGTGACCGGTCCACGTTGTTCGCGGGTCCGTACGCCATGTTTTGGGCGCACAATCAAGGAAGTGTATAGTGTTTAAACTCGCAGCAAAGAGCAGAACAAACTCTCCCCCTCAAAGCCCTTGTTACGAGCCAGCAGTTGAACAATGATGTCTGATTTTTATCGCCAGAGAGCAGTAATAGCACAAGTGAAACCGTTTCTAAGTACATTTGTTATACACGCATATTGTTATCATTGCCACGTAAAAGCAATTATTAACTCCATAGCCTGGGCCATTGTTAGGTGAACGAGAGAGCTAGAGACTGTTTCTTGAAGCTGGCTTGCACCGATACGCGTTCGCATTTGTTTCTTGTATTCGCCGGTTAATCCGTTTTGATATTTTCTGCCGATACCGTTGCGCTTTAACTGACCGACTAATCCCGTATGATACACACGGTGCTTATCTTAATTGTAGCCCGTGCCATTTTTCATTTCGCCGTGTAATTTTCACGATGGTTTACGAGGTGTATTTAACAGATGGATGAAACGAAGATAATCTTTAAGCCGAAGGTTGAAAGAATCGAGGTTATATCGGTAACACTACTCGCTGCCAGTTTCTTAAAGTGTCCGCTGATGGGCGGTGTGATCGATAGACAAGGAAAGAATTCGCCATTTTGAACTTCGATTTAAAGATTAGACGAAAGCTATCGCCTCGGGTAATGAATTTTTATTTCTCCGTCAACTTGAGTTTAAATATATTATATCGTTAAATCTCCCATAATTTTATCGCGACTTTTCTTTTTCTTTTTTTTCTTCTCCCGTTTTTTTTTTTCTTTTTTTTTTTTTTTTTTATTTGGGGGTCTAAGAAATTTGTTTTGGTTGGTAATTTATCATCGGTGCAAACCTGTATCAAGGAAAATACGAGAAAGAGATTATCGTAATAACTGCCGATTACTCGGTAACAATGGCAACGCCCATACATACGAAGTCTGTAATCGAAATGCTTTATATTTTTACACCGAACAAAGCAGTATATAACGTACAATAAACAATAAAACATGTCCTTCCATACGCAACCTCAAGATGACAAATGTTAAATTTTTATTTTTACAACAGCCCACTATCACTTCCGATATCTGAGCTATATTCGAGCATATTCATAGTTGAGACTATTTAAGTAGGATTAATTGAGACAAAGTCGGATAGGAATTCATTTTAATCGACTCACAAGATTTACGATTTCTACTCGACTCGATCGTCTATTGTAATATATGCAATTATAAACAATACGACAGTCTACGCTAGTGATATTATTGTATAATGTCGACGTTTCACAGGTATACACACACAGGGCGCGTGCCTACATACAAAACACGTACACGAAAACATTTATGTGATCTTTGTGCGCTATCGTTTCGACAAATATTTTGCGGTAATTCGTTTGTTTGGTCGTAAAAAGGGAAGAAAGAAGAGAAAAAATCGTAACGGAAAAATATAACGCGTAAATTAAAAGAAGCAGATACAGAAATGGTGTTTTTCGGTTTAAGTAACACGGCGAGAGAAATTCAAATAAGGCGGTCTCATAACGATCTGTCCAGAGTCCAGACACTACTGTCATCTTGTGCCCCATCTGTTGCACGACACTTTAGTTCTAACATACGCGGCTCTCGTAAAATATTTCGTGTGTAATTTTCAATCGAGAAATCAAAGCAAAGAAGGCAAAGAACCGATCGGTACCAAAAACATGAGTCCCATACAATTAATTCATTAACTTCGTAAAAAAAGGATGTACATATGTATTTAAGATAGCTATATATTATTATATATACATACACATGACACTCCAGACACCTCACACACGTGTGCATACATATATCTAATATACGAAGGTTTTCAATGTGCTGTTATCTACGATCGATTCAATTGTTAAATACTTTCTCGTTACTTACCCTAAGATATCCGTGGTCGACGGAAACCTGGTTGGCAGTTTGATTATCCAATGTCTTCTCCTTTGTTTCTGCGCTAAGCAACTTTACATCCACGAAAGAAACTTTCACGATATAGATTCACTCGATATATATATTTTTCGATTCACTCGATGTTTCTTAATATTTTTATGTTATATGCACTTCTACGTTCACGACCGACGTTTCGTTACGACAACAGAACTGATTTTCGAACAATTAAGTGCATTTTCGTATCTATAGTTCAACTTTGACGCGTTATTCGAACAATCGTGCTGTGCCAACTGAGGGTTTAGAAATTCGTTATTTTAAAATCGCGTTATTGCAAACTGATCAACCGTTTGAACGTCAAACATAAACAGCACGTGTGACAACCTTCACTGTAATACCACCGATAGCCAATTAAAAAGCGCGAAATTCAAACGATTTTCGATTTTCTTTTTTCCTGTTCGAAGTTGTTGTAAAGCTTGTTTAATTGGCAATCGGTGTCGATTACTTAATTCCATGATCTCCTACAGGGATTATCGATTACAAAGTGGAATTAATGAAAATTTCGTTTATAATATCGAATAAGATTTGAAAATATATTTCCCGATAAGCATTCGGAATAATGTTCAAAGAATGCTGATTTTCTTAAATTACGAACGTACGTAATACCTCAGAGTCATTACGATATCAATACGTAAAAATAACGAAACATTTGTGATTCGTGATGTATCGTAGATTATTACCGAGATATTGGTAATTTCGTACGACAAATAATGAAATATATACGAACGCAAGTATTTATGTACGTCGATGAAAATTTTCGAATTACGGCAACTATAATGGATTCGTTTATTCTATGCACTTCCCTCTCACTGTAAAAAGACAATTCGAGATGTCAGCAGGTGTTTCGAATTTTCGCGCAAGTTTCATTCGAGAGTTGTTACTGATGTCAATCTTCGATTTCTATATTCTTCTTAGGATAAGGACTTTTGTATCATGAGTTAAAAGTACTGTTTCTAAGGTTAATTATGAAGACCATTGAGACGCATTAAGAAATAGTTTATGTTTATAAAACATCTTAAATATGCCGTAAGGACAACCGTACTGACCTGTACGTGAAAGTATACGTATCCGACAAGGGAACTTTAATCTTTCGATATCGCGTAAGTACGAAGGAATTTTCTTCGAAGGCGCAAGTATTTTGCATCGTTTTCGAATTTAACGTATTTTGAATCTGATAGGTGAATAGGGAAACGGCGCGAGAACACAAATTAAAGTCTCGAATTTGTAATTTTTCATAATTTTAAGAGAGTAAAAAGTAACGAAAATAAGATAAAATTCCGTTTTGAAATTTAATCGAGGAAGGTTCCCTCGTGATATTTAACGCGTATAAATAAACATTTTTAATATTTCACATTTTATCACAATCTTCATCGAAGTCGTTCAAATGCGAAAACAGTCTTTTTCGTATCGAAATTGACATTACTTATTTTACACGCATCGAATATTAGGACTGTGTTCGCATTATGATAGTTGTTAGCAAATGAACGTTTCTCGGTCCCTAGAAAAGAAAATAAACATAAAAAAAAAGAGATCGAATTTTTCGTGAAGAGAGAGTACACATATACACGCTTACTGGGAAACATGTATATGTACTTCAAGACGTCTTTGTGCAAAATTGATGAATGTTTTACGTGTACTAAAATGTTCCCTTTTAATCCTATTAAGACTTACAAAATATAAGTATTATACTTTACTTGTATATATACATATGTGATAAAAAATATATATATATACACCTGGTTTTTCATGTCATATTTATATTGTATCCTTTGAATTTTTTATTTAATATTAAGGAAAATGGAAATATCAACAATGACACACGTATTGTTTATTACGAACATTTCATTTTATTTATTAAAATTATTCATTAAATTAATTCTTCAGGAATGTTCAGTCTTCGATTATTTTATGTATCATACTGAATTACGAAATTCGTTTTATGTTGTAATAGAAAATTGAAAATACAGTGTTATGTAATTTGGTATTAACATTGCTATTACCCCATTATAGTCTCTTAGCTTATGTACAATTAATGCACGTAACTTTTGAAATTACATGCAATTTTTAAAACTTCCCTTCTGCCGTGCAATAATATAACTTATATCTGAAATCAAACTCTTGTTTTTAAATTATATATTATTTTGTACTAATTTTATTTAAATTTACAAATTAAAATTGTATATATATATATACTAATGGGAAAATATACGTTGAGTCAGAAATTAATACAGTTTACACCATGTACATTTCCTGTAAATTATTATTTAAAAATATACTATTATATCGTTGAATTTATAAAAATATAATTTAATTTAAACATTTTTCAAAATCATGTTTCTGAATAAAAAATAATTTGTTGGGTTGATAAGATTAAATATTTTTTTTTATAAAAGATTTAATAAAAATTTAAGTATCATTGGGATGTATCACATTTATGTCCGAGGCGGTACTAATACTAGGTAAAGTACTATCGCTCCATTCAGGATGAGGATAACTTCTTGGTGGACTTGGTACGTTAATTGGCATTCTACTTTGAATTCTTATGTCTTGGAATATATTCTGAAATTGTTCTGTTATAGTAGAACCTATTAAATTATGTGGCGAATTATCTTTTAGTATATTAACAGTATCTTCGATTACAATAGATTTTTTCCCAAAACTTTGTTTTTTACTTGGTTCCAAAAATTTTTTATTTCTAGGTGAATCTTTTCCATCAGTCTCTTTTTCATAAGCCTTTTCAAGAGATAAATGTAAATTTTCCGATGATGGCATTTTATTGGTACTTTTGAAGTTACTTAAATTATCACTTCTCTTATTACTCGACGTTACTACGTCACCCATTCCTCTATTAACTGAAAAGGAAATATTACATATGTAACGGATCATGATATATTTAATACATATACGTTGAATGTATTTACCTGATTTGCTCATCTCTGTACAACCAAAATCTTTATAAGGTAAAAGTGTAAGTGAAGATTCTCCACCAGGTAAACTAATGAAGTCTAAATTAGCAGAATCCTTAGTCGAAGATTCTTTAATATTCTTAGTTCGTTTCTTTTCTAAATTTTCAATTTGAGTTTCTGAAAATGCTGATATTTTATCCGCTTTATGCAGAAAATTCTGTACATTTCTTTTTTGGGTCGGATCGTGATCCGCCGTAGATAAAGAAATATCAGATATATCACGCCAAGAAATATGTATATTGGAATTATGTGAAGAGGTAGAAGTAGGTGATGAACATGCAAGACCTCTGTGCACCAATGAAATTTGTGGATTTGAACTTTCCTCGTGGACATAAATATCTTTTAAACCACTCAGTTGGTCAGCGATGTGATTTTGCAATTCCCTATGGCATAAAATAAAAATATAACTGTCGTATAACGCTGTTAAATTAAAGTCAAATTAAATGATTCAACTAACTTGATTGCATTACGAAGTTCATTTAATAACGAATCTTTGTATGTTGATAAAACTGAAAGTTTGTCTTTTTCAAGTGTTAGATACTGCACCTCTAAATGCCTCTGTCGTGCAAGTTCTGTTTGTTCTGCAAGATTCATTCTTAACTCAGCTACAACTTTTTGAGAAAATTTGTAACCCTTAATTTCTTCTGTTAACTCAGTTATTGTTTTATCTTTAGCTTGAACAGTTTTTATTTTTTCTTCTAATTCCTGTTTTAATGACTTTATTGTTGTTTCTAAATCTAATTGTCTTTCTCGAGCTTCGTTTAATAATAAGACTTGTTTATGAACTTGTCTAATTTAAAATAAATCATATAAAAATAGTGCATGACAAAAATTGCTATCCCTCATTGTTAGTAAAAGACATACCGTTGTAAAGAATCTCTCTCATCGCGTAATGCTTCACACATTGAATTCATTTGCCTAGTTGTTTCTTCTAATTGAGTTGTAGTTGCTTCTAATTTAGCACGGAGCGCCATAGCTTCTAAATCCTGCCACAAATAATTACATTCTAATATCCAAAATTTCTAACATTACGTTTTCTATAATTTTTAGTAAACATACCACTACAACTGGTTTGCTTGGTTCCACTGCTACTCTAAGTAGTGCTTGTTCCATATCAGTAAGAATTTTATTAGCTTTATCATCCTTAACTAAGTGTTCTAATTCCTTTATTAAAAAACTTAATGTACGAACTGGATTGAACACACTAAATCTATCATCAGAGTAATCAAATAATCCATCACATTGTACCCCTTTATCATAAACTATAATAGACTCCACAGTGCTTGGTATTGATGTACTTGATGGATTTGCAATATGCGGTATGGATTTTATATGTTCTTCTATTCTTTTCTGAGAAGCTGGTTGTTTAATAGGAATTTCATCTAAATGTTTATACTACGGAGAAAGATATTACTAAATTAACTTTTGAATAATTTTATGCCTTATTTAGCAAAGTATGAATATGAAAAATAATACTAACATCTGATTTTTGATGATTCAAAGACTGTTTCTTCGTCTCTTTAATTTCACAACCATGTTTTGATGACTTTGAACCTGGAGTTCTTGTCATCAATCGTTGTAAGCCTTGTTTCATAACCGTTTTATTTTGTTCTCTTAAAACTCTGCCCCAACTTTGGTGAGAATCACTACTACTGCCAGGTCTTTTTTTCTCCTCTACAGCTTTGTGACCAGTTGGACTGCTGCTGACCATGGTTGATGTACGTTTGTGACCTTTAGCTTTTACAATTACTTCTATCAATGTATTACAATTATCATATGAAACAAGGCCACCTGAAGATAACCCAGTAGTAGGCTAGAAATATATTGCATAGTTAGAATTTATGTAATAAAAAAATCTGTAACCATAAAAATGTCAAATTATAAATTACCAATTGATGATTATTTTCCAATATATTTTTATTACTCCGCGTGGCAACAGTTTTACTCGCAGCACTTATTTTGCTGCTCATTATGCTAAAATGATAGAAAAATATATGTTTTATATTCAATAAATATTTAGACGTATAGACTGGTCTTCAACCAATGTGGACAAAATTCGTCTAACCTAATATTTTGGTCAATACATTTCATCGTGCATCAAATACCTTACCATAATACGTTGTAATATTTGCCAGCATATTTATTCTGGCGCTTACGATGTATACACCATCTTGTATGATTGAATAATTTTGAATAATCATTTTATCACAGTATTATACAAAAAATGTAACAAACATATCTGATTTATTCTTTTTGGTTTTAAAATTATTTATCATATAACCCAATAAATACTTTGTATTTCATATGCGTAACGACACCATTAGATTTAAAATTAGTTTTTTTTATTTTTACCTATTTCACATAAAAGCGATTAAAATCATAGTCATACGTTTCAAAACAATTTAAATGTTTTCTGTTTCCGTGTTACGATTCAAACAAATATAAACTATACTGTCTTTACAATTTCCTATCCCATTTTCAATTTTTATGCATACAAATAGTATATTTTGAAATATTATAACTAACAAGGAGAGTGCAAGTTTATCGAGTCACCGATTTAGTTGAAACCTTGCAAGTTTGTAGATATTGTCATGCAATTTAAGAAAATGTATTATTATAGCCGCAATTATTCAATAGTTTTTGGGACATTTACGATTAAAGTTTTATTGTTACTATAAATAAAGACTTATTCCCAACAATTTTCAAGTCGACTTGTGGCCTATGCCGACAGTCGAGAATTCCCATGCCTAGAGGATCGGTGTTCGATTCCCGTCCATAACGTAGTTTTTTTTTTCTTTTAATTTATTTTTCATTTCGTATTCATTTTTCGCCTATGAAAACATTGTAAATAAAATTTCTTAATAAAAAAATTTATATTTTAGGCTTTCTTATGCTAGTATATATTTATTACAAAATAATAAGAATATTATGCCAGAAAAACACTTTTCTATAGCAATCTTAT